AAATTAAAGAAAAGGTTGAACAAGCTGCCGCAAATAATCTCCCCCTACCAGGATAGTTATTCATAATACATTATAAGATCTGAAGTTTATGGCGGGGTATGCATAACATGTGCCGATGTCGTATATTAATGTTCTACACGTCACTGCGATACGTGATTCTATTAGTTAAATATGGTGGACATTTATGCATTATATTCTACCAGTATGCCTAATTCAGAGTGTGTGATATGTTTTCCCGTGGTTTAATACTATATATAAACCTCAGACATGAGTTCTGCATTCTTTGTACACGCAGTTTAGTTACAGAGTCTAGGCATGGATGATATAAAGCATCACCGTAATTGAATATGGACAGAAAAAGAGCTTCACATAATTGGATTTTCAAACGTTGGTTAAGTAATTAGTGAAGAAACTTGTCCACGGAATCGAAACGTGGTATCAAGATGTACAATTTAACACTACCCACTCTAATATTTACAGATTCCTTGATTCTGTTCACCACACCACCACTCCCAAATACCATAACTGCAGATTTTCCATGTCATTCTCATTGAATGAGTAATAAACCTGAGTATGGTCAGCATAGATGTGAGCAGCCCAATAGTTTAGTACTTTTGGCAAAGCAGCCGTATAAATCAGATAGAGCAGAGGGCCAAGAATTGAACCGCCAGCAGTGGAGTCTTCGACACCACTGCTGCCGAAGACTCTTTTCCATTGAGCTTAACAGTTTCTAACCGATTCAAGAGGTAACTGCTAAAAAAATTTATGGCACTCTCCGAAAGGCCAATATGGTGGAGTAGAGCCAAGAGAGTGGGGTGGTGAATGGTATCAAAGGCCTTAGAGAAGTCCAAGAGAATCAGGATCGTGGCACTTTTCAGGGTAATTGCATGGAAAATATCATTCGTGACATCGAGAAGGGCTGTCGTACAACTGTGTCTTGAATGAAAACCTGACGGACTGGTAGAATATTAAATTTATCTAGATGCTGGGTAAGTCTAGTAGCTACTACTTTTTCCAGAATCTTGGACAATATAGGCAAAATATTTATGGGTCGGAGATCTTTAAGTTCCCGAGGGCTGGATGTTTTTGGAATTGGTGTGATTCCAAAAACAACTTGAGCAATCTTCCAAAGGTCAGGAAACACAGACAATTCAAGGCAATAGTTCACAATATGACATATATATGGTATAATTGTTGGACAACACATATTCAACATTTTAACATTAATTCCGTCAACTCCAACTGTAGTTGTCTTAATGTTACAAAGAACATCCAGAATTTCCTTTTCCGAAGCGAGAGAAAAGGACACTGATTCGATAACACCAGAGAAGGTATTAGATTGATAATGCCAAAAGTCATTAACTTGATCGGCGTTGCCTATAGATTCAGGAATTGTCGGTTGCCTGACACTAACAATACCCATCGACCGGAAACTCTGCCAAAGTTCACGAGAATTTTTATTATTTAACATATACAGGGTGGGTGTCTCAGCGAGACCGGTCATTAGACGTTTCTGGGGTTCTGGCGAAAATAAAAATTTGAGAATTCAGACTTAAGTATTATCAAATTACGATCTCTTCGACTAAAATATTTTCAGATTTCTTGCACTTCCGGTTATACCGGAAGTTGCCACCTACTTTATTTTTTTAAATGGAACACCCTGTATATTTTTATATATTTGGCTTTGTCTATTTTCAGGGTTTATAAATAACTTTACTTTTTGCAATTTGATACGGCCGTTCTCGAGTTATTCGAGTTTTTCTAGAAAAATCTGCTCCAGCAGATATTTGTTCAAAAAATCAGAGAACACTCGATTTTTGGGATATCAATTTAGGATTCAGAATATGCTTAAACAACATGATGGAGGATGTTTTGGTGCCGAGACCGGTTATCTAGAACGTTTGGTCACTTTACTATGGCACGTTAACTTTTCAAAATTTGGAAGTACCATATCTTCATTTTTTTAAATGGCACCCCCCATATTTTATTACTTAGTCGTCTTCGGCGTCTCATTCTACATCTTTTATATCCCATATGTCCCATACCTAACATTAATAGTTTAGGAGATAATTAGGGTTTTTTGAAAAATGCACACATATCATATGGATATTTAGCCTAGTTTGAATTCTCAATTTTTTATTTTGGCCAGAACCACAGAAACGTCTAATGACCGGTCTCGCTGAGACACCCTGTATGACAGATACGCTCTCTTTTCTTTTTGAATAGAAGAATTAGTAAAATTTCGCAACTCCTTGTAGCATTTAAAATTTTCGGTATTTCTTAAATTTAGTGTACGCATCAACCCTAAGTTTCATCAACAGTTTTATATTGTCGGTATATCCAAGGGCGAAAATTTTTTCTAGTTGCAATAATCCGTGTTGAAGCGTGAACATCAAAGAGAGTCAATATAAAAAAGTTTAAGAAATTTGCCTTATCGTTAATATTGTTAAATTTGACAATATTTTGCCAGGGTATTGCTACTCTTGAAAACAATTCTACACTGAAACTATTAAAATCCCTATAGTGTAATATTTTAGGCAATGCCTTCACACCTGATAAATTTAAGTTCACGTATGGTTAGCTATTATGCACCGGAATCACCTCCGAATCGCTCACGGAAGCATCTCGCGTTGCTGATGAAATAATTTGAGTCAGATTATATGACTCAATAGCCGGTAGTAATCGACTACTGTAAGCTCCCGTCACACCAAAAGTATTGATATTGAAATCACCCAAGCGTAGAACCAGATGCGATAGGGCATCCTCAAAACTAGTTAAAAATTGAGAAAAATCAACATTTGGTCTATACACAACACCAATCGTCAGAAAAAATTAGCCTTTACTCACCTCAATCCACAAATGTTCTGTCAAAGGAAAAACTTCACTAAACATGACATTCAAATTGTAAACAGACTTTACATAAATTCCAACACCGCCTCCACGACAAGGAGAATCAGAAGCCGAGCAACAAACAAATGATGGTAGTTACAAAAAGTATAAGCATCATGACCCGAGTTAGGATAGATCCATGTTTCCGACATGGCGAAAATATCATAGGATTCTGTTTGTATAATATTTTTTACGGCAGCAAAGTGAGCTGGAAGCGATCATGTATTTAAATGGCCTATTTTTATTAACACTTCAAAATGAGTATAAATATTTAAAGGAAAACAGCAGATTTTTCAGGTAATTACATTTACAAAACTGAATTGTCTTTCCAACAATATTTAGCATTCTGAAAGTAGTTAATAGTATTTTGGAAACAGTATCTTCTCTTTCCAATCAGATAATACTTTCTCCCAGCAGTATTTAGTCTTCTCCAAGCAGGTCGTAATCTTTTCTAGTAGTATATAGTACTCTGAAAGCAGTAGTCTTAGTCTAAGTAGTCTTAGGGAAGCAGTATCTCGTCTTTCCAATCAGTTTGTAGTTGTTTGTTAGTACTATCTAGTCTTCTCCAAGTAAATTGTAATCTTTTCCACCAATATCAAAATATTAAATTATTAGAAAATAAAACTTCTTTTCTTGCAATTAATTTCTTTATTCAGTCATCTTCAGCCGAATGGTTAATAAAAACTATTTATATTAAAATTTTTATCACAAAGAACAAACATATGAAGAAAACACTTTAAAATATAAAGTTACACTTTAACAATATAATATAAAGACCTGCAAAAAGATAACAACTACACAAACTACCATTAATAACAAAGACATACGAAGAAATTAATTGCAAAAAAAGAAGTTTTATTTTTTAATATTTTGGTATTTATACAAAACTTGCAATATAGATATCAATAGCTATTTTCCACCAGTACTAGCATTTTGGAAGCAGTAGATACCTTTTTTGGAGAGCATATCTCTTCTTTCCAAGGAGTTATTAGTCTTTTTCAGTAGTATTTAGCATTCTGGCAGCATTAGGTAGCTTTTTGGGAAGCATATCTCTTCTTTTCAAGGAGGTATTAGTCTTGTCCAGCTATATCTAACATTATGGAAGCAGTAGGTAGCTTTTTGGGAAGTATATCTCTTTTCCAAACAATTATTAAAATCTTTGAAGGCAATAAGTAGTCTTGGAAGCAGTTTTCCGCCTGCCCAAGTAGGTCAAAACCTTTAACACTGTTAACTTGAAAACAGTATCTAGTCATTTTAGAAGCAGTAGGTTACTTTTTGAAACAGTATTTTCTCTTTCCAAGCAGTTTTTAGTCTTTTACTAGCAGTATTTAATTTTCTGGTAGCAATAATTAGTCTTTTGCCAACAGTATCTGGCATTCAGGAACCAATAAGTTACATAGGGGCATCAGGTATAGATTTTAGGTTATCTTTAGTTTATAGATGGTAAACAACGACATATTAGTCGTTGTGTGTTGAAAATCTAAGAAACAACCGTATTTCACCCGAAAATATGCGTTTTAACCAAATGTGCTGTGAAAATATATTATGGTTATTAGCACGGTCGATGACGTCACAAAAAGTGACGTCACCTCGACTCTTTAAAGTGATTTTTCGGTAAGTTTTACACTTTTCCGCACTTTTTGTTTTATTTCTAACGGCTTACTTGAGTGATTTTCCGTTGATTAAAAAAAATTGTCGATTTTTAAGCGATATGACTATTCTTGAATTATACCAATAATGTTTGGAAATTGATATCATAATGTATGGTATATGTATGATATAATGTATGGAATCAATATTAATATTGAAGATGCAAAAGAAATCTTATAAGTTCTGACATTTTATTAAAAAGAGAGTGGGAATTACAAGAGCTTCATGAACCTTTCATTTCAATATATAGATTTCAAAGCATTCCTAATTATTTTGAACCGACCTATTTTAAATTGAGGATTATTGATTTTTTTGTGATAAGATATAAAATCTTAATCCATATCAATTTATTTTTAAAAGACATGAAACGATTACTATCTTAAATTGAAGCTTAGATTCTAATTTATGACAAGTCATTAAAAGTATGATGTAGGGTCATTAAAATACAATGAAAAACTTACATCGTGAATGTCAATGCCGTGATTTAACGACCACATCGTTTGGAAGTAATCTTGCATTCTCTGTTTCAACTCTTTGGGGATCTGGTGCAGCGTGAGGAAATCCTTGAGGTCGCGCCATTTGATCTGATACATGGATCTTCTCGAGTACATCCTCTGAATGATTGCGGTCACGTTTCCAAATACAACCGCATGCATCAAAGCTGTTTAAAAAATGTTAATATAAAGCAATCTTATACGAACAGAATTAATTCCAAATCTTATCACTAATTTAATTTACCTCCTACTAGCATGGTGCAAATACTGAATATCTTCTCGCTCGTTGTATTCGCGCTAACATTTCCAAACCCGACACTTGTCAAGCTCGAACACGTAAAGTACAAAGCGGTTACGTAAAGATCTGTTGGCGAAACTAACGAGACGTTCGTTTTCAATCGATCCGCTAAGTTATAAATCCAACCTATAATAAAAACAGAGAATGTTAAATATATTTATATCATTTACAATAAATAAAAATATGTTGTAGATCTTACCCAAGTCCAATGCGTTATTTTTTTCATTCTCCGCAATGACGAACCATATACAAGCGAGCCAATGAGCCATCAAAGTGAAAGAAAGCATAAGAAGCGTTAAAATCATTGCGCTATATTGTGCGTAGCGATCAATCTTTTGCAATAATCGTGCGAGACGAAGTAATCTAGTTAATTTGATGAGGTGGATATTGTGAATTGTGAAGGTGGCTGATACCGAAGAATTCTATAAACAAAAACATAGTTATAATGTTCTCGAATACAATACTATAATGATATTATTTTTTTTTGTTTATGTTCAGAAAATGAATCTTACATCACCACCATAGAGAGCGTGTAAAAGGTCAAAAGGTAAAGCGGCTAACATATCTACAATAAACCATGTTCTAAGATAATTGACTGAGATCGATCTCCAATCGGAGACCACTTCACCTTTCTTGTTAACGTACGTTGTTCGAAAATTTAATACAATATCTGAAATAAAAAAGTAAAAAAAATTAATAAAGATAAATTATAATTTCATACAATATGTATGTACTTTGTTTATGATTAAATTAGTTGATGAATAACTTTGTTTATGAATAACTTTGTTAATGAATAATTTTCTGGTTTAGTCAGGAACAACAAAGTGTCAATTTCCCGTATAACAACGCTCTATAGAAGTAGTTGGTAGATTAGGCGTACATATGAGCAATATTTAAATGACAACCGATTAAAAGCACTGTCAACTGCACAAAGCAATTTAAAGCGTTGATGGTCATGTGCTTTCGGGTTTATATGGACGTCCGGTGCTCCTCAAATTTTATATTGTCGCAAGTTAAAAAATGCTATTAATTTTGAACATGCGGTACACGGATTTAATAACGAAACCATTAAAATGTTAACGTCCTTTGAACTGGACAAATTTTGGGTTTCAAATTAAAAAAAAATTGGTAATTAACTTCTATCCGATATTTTAATGACCGTAAATATTAAAGCTGATACGGTAAATAAATTCTGTTATTTCTAACCCATTTTAATAAGTTCATCAATTTTATTAATCGAACATTGAAAATTATTCGTATTGAACTGAGTAAACATTATTGGTAAACTGTTCCAGTGCAGTTATATTTTATACGAATAAAGCGTAAATCACCATAATAGATTGCTTATATTAAATAATCTGGTACTATTCGAAAATTATAACCGATAGAGTACCATGACATTGATGAAATTTGTTCATAATGGGTCAAGCAAGCATAATTCATTACAATTTCTAGCATTACCATTTGATAGGAATGAAACAAAAGTCACTAATATCTCCAATATAGAAGGGGTACATTAAATAGTCTATCGTTACTTAAAAAGTGTAACTGATATAGCACCATGATATGTATGAAATTATTCGTATTTGAATCGAGCAAGTATAAACCATAATCTATTCTAGCCTAGTTATCCCCAGTTTCTAAGTATAAGGCGAAATTCGCCGAAGATCCATTTCAGATGACTTACGTTAAATAATCTCTACATATATTTATTAAAAAGATATATGTCCCATTTACAAGAAAGGATACAAACTACTCATACTCATGTTTCAAGGATGAAAGAATACCAGAGTGTTAGTAAACAGCAAAATGAGTGAGGCCGAAAGGAAAAAAAATGCTAGGATGTATGAATTGCAAGTGAAAACCCAGAGATAGATAGTGGGGTGAAAAAATATACAATGGAGTCAGTTTATCCCCAATATTGAGTTCAATTTTCCTTCCTTTCTATGTTGGAATAGATAACAAGGAATTTGTCAATGGATGTGATTTTAATGTGCACTCATTGTCAGTAGTTTTCGATATTGTTGTTAATAATAATAGAGATAAAGGTATAGAGTTGTAAAGGGTAAATAAGGGCCAGTCGATATTAATATAATCTGTGGGTGTCTTGTTTTGGTGGCCTTTGTCAAATATGCTGCTTATTATTCAGTCACTGACGCCAAACCACCATGGCAAATCACACGATTGAGCAGCACGCAAAGCAATGAAATTTATAAGCAAATTCCTTGCAGTGGAGAAGAACTCGAAGTTTCAACTTGGCGAATTATGCGTCAATATTTGGGCTTATACTCGTACAAGATCTAATTGACCCAGGAACTCAAAGTTAATGACTATAGACGTTAAAGCTGTTTGTTCACTGACTGGGCTTCGGGACGTTTGGAAGAGGATTTTAATTTTGGCAGAAAATTATTTTTAGCGACGTGGAGAATTTTTGAAGTAAAATTGCCATATATGGGATGACGCCAACTAAGAGAGAGTTACTAGGCGGCAATGCATCCACAAAAAGAGCTTTGTGAACCTGGAAGCCGAGTTTACGATATTTTGGTTTTATTAGTACCATTCAATAGAGAATCGTGTGCATTTTTGCACGTTTGCCATTTTTTGATTCTTCAGAATATCGCTGAAATATCACTCTTTCCAGGTTAGTATCACCGATGGTTAGATTTTGCAGAGTTCTGCCTGAGCGTGTTTCAGTTAAAACTTTGATTTTCTCTGCATTTACTGATAGACCCACTTTTCGAGCATTCGATAAATATTTCCTTCACTGTCGTTGTTGCTCTTCCCATTACACAGTGTTAGGAATTTATGAATATTTGGCCAAAAATCTAATTACAACTAAATGAAGTTGAAAATGTTTAATACCATTATAATATCTCCTTAATGGTTAGCTAGGATTTATTTCATCTATAAACAGTGCTTAAAACAAAATTTAGGATTTTGAAACGAATATTTGGAAATAAAAGCGAAACAAAGGTTTTGTTGTGGGTTGGGTTGGATGCTTAAGCTAATGTAACTCCGAAAACATGGTACATTTATTTCATGAGTAATACATACTTATATACTATATATAGTATATTATAATATATACACAGCGTGTCTCACGTAACTAGTTCGTTAAAACTTTTTAAGGTTCCACTATTCATAGAGGTTTGAAATTTTGGCCTCATTCGAATCTTTCGATCTAAAACATTTTCAAGATGGCTGCCACTTCCGGTCTACCGGAAGTAGACCATACCTTCGTTATTTTAAATGGAATACTACAGTTTTTATTACACTTTTTAATTGTACATAAAAAAATATGTTGACTATTAAAAAACAATTCAAGGCAATTAAAAGGTGTAATAAAAACTGTAGCATTCCATTTAAAATAACGAGGTTATGGTATACTTCCGGTAGACCGGAAGTGGCAGCCATCTTAAAAATATTTTAGATCGAAAGTTCCGAATGAACAACCCATGCTACCAAAATTTCAAAACTGTACAAATAGTGGACCCTAAAAAAGTTCTAACGAACCAGTTACGTGAGGCACCTGTATACACTGTATATGTTGGAGGCAGATGACGAATTCGGCCCGTGGCCGATTTATTTAGACATATCGGCATATGTCTAAAGCTGTTAGGTCACATGACGAAAAAATGATACAATCGGGATCTGACCATATCAGTTTGAACACGTCCCGATATGTACATTTGCACAATGCGCCGATCCGATCGGAACTACACATAACCTCTTTTGGGATGTTTATGAGGGACATCACTTACGTGCAGTGTGTTTATTAGTACGTTTTACTGTTTTTAGCAGTTACCGAAGTTATAAAGTTTTAAATATAAAGTGGTTGACTTTAAATATGGAAAGTGAAAAATATTTAGTTGAAAAACAAATTTTTGAAACTAAGCTTTTTAAATTAATTGAAAATAGTGGCGCTAATAATTTTACCACCGTACTAACTGTTGAGCATTATTTAAGTATTTTAAATCAAGTAAAGAACAGCATGTCAAAGAAAGAGACGAAGGAAAAACTAAGTTGTCAAGATTATAGGCGTTTGAATAGATTTGAAATTCTAAGAATTGGTGATAAAGAGAAAATTATTGCAAAACGAAAGAATGATGATGTGGTTTCTATAAGGTATTATTGCGATGTTACGGAGGTACACGGCATTTTAGAAAAAGTTCATAAAGATACTGGCCATAAAAGAAGATTAGGAATGGAAAAAGAAATTGCTAAGAAATATTGTAATATTCCCAGAAGTGTCATTGAAGAGTATTTGAAATTATGTGCTATGTGTCAATTAAAGAAAAAATCGAAGCAGAAAGGATTAGTAGTAAAACCAATAATTTCTACAGGATTTAATAAAAGGGGACAAATTGATCTTATTGATATGCAAACAGAACCGGATGGCCCTTATAAGTTTATCATGAATTACCAAGACCACCTCACAAAATTTGTGTTTTTAAAACCTCTAAAAACTAAAAAGGCAGAAGAAGTAGCATATAACTTGATGGATATTTTTTGCATAGTCGGGGCACCTTGCTTGCTTCATAGTGACAATGGCAGAGAATTTGTGAATCAAGTAATTACTAGCCTTGCAGATATGTTTCAAGCGAAAATAATTCATGGTAAACCACGTCATTCTCAAAGCCAAGGGTCCATCGAGAGAGCGAACCAAGATGTAAGAGACATTTTAATTACTTGGATGCAGGAAAATGAGACAACTAAGTGGGCAGAAGGTCTAAGATTTGTGCAATTAAAAAAGAATAGATCATTTCACCGAGGCATCCAACGTACTCCATACGAGGCTATGTTTGGCATCCCACTTGTTAATGGCTTAAAAGATTCAAATCTTCCGCTTGAAATTGTAGAGAAGTTACACGATGAGGACGACATTTATAGATTAGAAAGCAGTGTTGGTAGAAACATAGAACAGGTAGTATCTGAAAAATCAGATTCAGAATTTCAAAACAGTGATGGACGAAATGAAAAAGATGTACAAGAAAGCTTTCCCATAAATTATTCCAAAAATGATGATGTTGAGGAAGAATTGTTGAGGTAACCTAAAAAAACGCAGAGAATTTACATTGCTTATTATTATTATTATATGTTTCATTTTAGGAACAACGAAATCCGATTAAAATCAATAAATCAATATCGATCTCATAGTATAAAGTAAAAAAGCAAGCAACAGAAATGTTACAGCAAAGTTGTTCCAAATTCCCAAAAATTGAAATTGGGCAGAACGTTTTAGTTAGGGATTTAGTTAGGATTCCTGATGTCGACAGAGGACGCTTAGCTCCTCGTAACATTTTGGCTGTTGTATTGTCCGAGAAAGATGATTTATACCAACTTGGTACATCAACTGGCGTCTTGGAAAAACTATATGCCAGGAATGAGTTCCAGGTATGTACCTAACTAATATTTTATATATTTAAACGGTAATAAGCTTTTTCTTTTCAGCTTTCTCAAACGAACTCATTGACATCTTCAGATGTACCCATCGAAAATAAACTCAGTTTGCGAACGGTGGCGGCAAAAGAATCAAATTCTTCCCAGGGGTTTGTAAGATGCAACTGTCGTAAACAGTGCAGTAATAAAAAGTGCAAATGCTTATTAAAGAACTTGAAATGTAACAGTAAATGTCATTCAAGTACGTCATGTCGCAATAAGTAATAAAATAAATATTATGTTAGTTCCTACATTGCATTTGTTTCTCATATGACCAAAGCAACAATTAACATTTCGGGATATGTTTAAATGCTAAAAACAGTAAAACGTACTAATAAACACACTGCACGTAAGTGATGTCCCTCATAAACATCCCAAAAGAGGTTATGTGTAGTTCCGATCGGATCGGCGCATTGTGCAAATGTACATATCGGGACGTGTTAAAACTGATATGGTCAGATCCCGATTGTATCATTTTTTCGTCATGTGACCCAACAGCTTTAGACGTATGTCTAAATAAATCGGCCACGGGCCGAATTCGTCATCTGCCTCCAATATATACATACATAAAGTATGAAATCAATTCGATAAAAATTTGAGGGATATTCTTCCAGAAAAAATTTTTGAATATAACATAGATAGTTATATTTTTTAGGTGTTAAAATAGGAACCCCCATTTTTTTGTTGCATTTATGGATGGGCTGTCTTCGAAAAAATTGCAGTTAAAAATACTGTTACTATTTTATTTGCAATAATAGAGTAAACTACGCTATTCTCTGTTTCTGTGTTAATTTGTGACAAATGTTTAATAATGTAATAATAACCATAAATTATGTTTTAACCCATACTTAAGCATATTTAGTATTTTAACATACTGTTTTAAAATTTTTTTTATACCTATATTTATTTTTCTTCGTCCACACTGTGTTTTACAATTTCAATATTAGTTGCAATTGACGATAAAAAATTATTTCTTTCTTCATGATTTTCAAAGCAGAGAAAGCTTATAAGTTCTTCAGAAAAATCTGTATTATTCCTTGATTTCTTGCTATGAAATGATGTTATAATTGTGTCTGAAGATATTAATAGTCTGTTTAAAATGTCTCTATTATTGTGTATTCTTGATATATTTCTGGAAAAGTTCTCTCTATACCTTCTATATTCCGAGTTTCTTGTTCATCTTCTGAAAGCAGGTTAATCTGGATACTTAATGATTTTATTATTAAGTGGCTATGCCCAAGAATTTTATGCACTGCCACAGGCATATAATACCAATTATATAATTGATTGTATAATAGAATTGTGTCGTTTGTAAGATTTTTAAATGCAGCAGTGTTCATTTCTTGATAATAATTTTTGTGAAATAGGCATCTGGTTTAGCATTTTAACGCGTCATTGATTTTCTTTTTTATGACTGTGTGTTGGATACGTATTTTTTAACTAAAAAAATACTTCGGAGTTGTTCGAGAAGAAGGTTACAACATGATATCTGAATCGTGACTCTTTTTTAAAGAGGCACGGTTAAGCCCGAAAGCTTCTAGCTCTAATAATAGAGTTAGTACTAATAATTCATAAAAAATAGTTATTCTGAAAAATTGTAAACGATTGATAGTTTCAAAACGAACTTTCAGTATTCACTGTCGACTATCCGTAGACACCACTCTGTATATTAGCCATTTTATTGAAAATGCGCAAATATGCGCAATTTATTTTTTTGGGAACGGAAAGTATAGGCTTGAAACTACATAAAAAACCAAATTTCAACGTGGGATCTTGTGGGACTTTTTTTGTAGCTTAAATTAAAGTTTACGATTGCAAATAAAATCTGTTCATGAACAGTGTTGAGAAAAAGATAAATAAATCCAGCATTCAAGAAGCTCTTGACATTGTTACATAAACAACACATACAGTATAAAATTATAGTGAAATTTCATAAGGGTACAACTTTTAATATGTTTACAATCGTTTCTCAATATTAATTAAATGTTTTTGGAAATTGATATGTAAAATAAGTGTTAACTTTACATGTCATTTTTATCCAGAGTTGAAGTTAATAAAAGGTGGTTATTGCGGAGTAGCGAGTATTAAGATATAACCTAACGATCCCCATTTGCCAAAATATTAAAAAAGAAAATTAGTAAAATCATGTTATGGCCGGTAATTTCATACGCTGCTATTTGGAAGAACTTATTATTTAAGATGTTTGAAGAATTGCTCGACATTTTCTTATGACATATTCCAATGCGATATTGAAGAGAACGAAACATCACCTTGTTTCAATCCTTGTGTTATTTCAAATGGGTTGGTCATCTGATTCTATATTCTGAAATATGCTGTGGTATCCGTCATTATAGTTTTCACTGATCTGGTTAAATCAGAATTCGTTCATAATGTCCTTTATTATCCTATCTCTTTTTATGGAGTTATAGGCTTGCCGAAAGTCTACGACAATCTAGCTAACATCAATGTCGAATTCCCATGTAACGCTAAATAGCTGGTCAATAGTGAATCTGCCTGGTCTCAAACATGCTTGATAATCACCAATGATGTTCTCTGTGTATATCTGTATTCGTTGTATACAGTAGGGAGATTCCACGATAGATTTTGCATGTTAATTTGTCTCATTTTTTGTGAATTGGGATGATAACACTCCTTTTTCAGTCCTAGGGATCTTTTCTTCCTTCCATATGTTAACTATTGAATTGTACAGTTGTTCTTGTTCCCAGGCTGTATTATATAGTTCCACAGCTTTTCCATCAAATCCAGATGATTTGTTGTTCTTTTGGGCTGGTAGAGGTCGACTGGCAGAGCTCGACTTTCTATAATGTAGGTGGTTCTATCAGAGGACGGTTGCTTTTGTTCTGGTTGTTGTTGCTCTTGTTCTTGTTACCAAATCTGCGATTATATGTTCAGTTTTGTCTCTCATCAATGTGGTATGGGGTTTAAAACCCCCTTTCAGTTGTTTTAGGTACTTGTATGCATTTCTAGGGTTATTATCTTTAAAATTCCTTTCCATCTCTTCTACCTGATGATTCAAATATTGTCGTTTCTTTCTTCTACATATTTTATTAGTTTTTGTTCCTCGTCTCTTCCAATTCTTCTTTCCTTGTCACTCGCTGGAAATGTTTTTGTATATAATACTTCTACACGTGTCAAAGAATTCTTTCTCCGGTGTTTCTCCGGACATCTTGCAAAATGTACTACTTTCAAAGTATTTGAATCCCTGTTACGTAACACCTTAACTGTAGCGTTTTCAGAAACTGAAGATGTAAATCTAAATGAAGGTTGTTATGGGACCCACAAACGATTAATTCAGGGGATTAAATCGGAATTTGAAAAGGATATACCTAGTAGATGTTAATATTATAATACAAAGCGAAATGAATGTGGACGTAAACTATATTGGAGATGAATATATTATAAATGTTGACTTAGAAGAATCTGAATTTGCAACATCAGGGAGTTTAAGTACATTTTTGAAAAACGTAGAATGTCATTGTAAATTGATCGCGCAAACCGGCGATCCATATTGGTCCATATTGGTGTCCAGAGGACAAACGTTGCGGTACAAACGAAAACAAAAGTGGCACAAACGGGAACAAACGATTCTCTATCGAATTCCACCGACCGTTTTGCGATATCTCTATTAATAACGGAGATACACACTTTCAGCGGTATTCTGAAAAATCAAAAAATTGGTGTATTTTGGAATCGGTTGAGGTAAAAACGAAAACAGAAATGGTACAAACGGGTACAAACGATTCTCTATCGAATTCCATCGACCGTTTTGCGATATCTGTATTAATAACGGAGATACACACTTTCAGCGGTATTCTCAAAAATCAAAAAATCGCTGTATTTTGGAACCGGTTGAGGTACAAACGAAAACAAAAGTGGTACAAACGGGTACAAACGATTCTCTATCGAATTCCATCGACAGTTTTGCGATATCTGTATTAATAACGGAGATACACACTTTCAGCGGTATTCTCAAAAATCAAAAAATCGCTGTATTTTGGAACCGGTTGAGGTACAAACGAAAACAAAAGTGGTACAAACGGGTACAAACGATTCTCTATCGAATTCCATCGACAGTTTTGCGATATCTGTATTAATAACGGAGATACACACTTTCAGCGGTATTCTCAAAAATCAAAAAATCGCTGTATTTTGGAACCGGTTGAGGTACAAACGAAAACAAAAGTGGTACAAACGGGTACAAACGATTCTCTATCGAATTCCATCGACAGTTTTGCGATATCTGTATTAATAACGGAGATACACACTTTCAGCGGTATTCTCAAAAATCAAAAAATCGCTGTATTTTGGAACCGGTTGAGGTACAAACGAAAACAAAAGTGGTACAAACGGGTACAAACGATTCTCTATCGAATTCCATCGACAGTTTTGCGATATCTGTATTAATAACGGAGATACACACTTTCAGCGGTATTCT